TCCACTCAAAAGGGGAAGTTCCACTTTAAGCCTCTCTCCCCCGCTCCCTATTAAGAATTGGCACCTTTGGGGAGCGGGTACCCGAAATTGACAGGTACCAGTTCCCAGTTCCGCTGCGCCTAGGCGATCGGAAGCAGAAGTTTTCCTCTCCCCCTGCCCGTAGTCTTCTGGGACACGTGACAGGTCCCAGAAGACTACGGGGCCATTCAGGAAGTGCAGCGGGCACCCGGCTGTGAAGCTGCAAGCTGTCACAGCCGGGCGCCCACACTGAAGATGCCGGCACCAGGGAGAGAAGATGGCCGGTGAAACCAGCCGTGGTGACACCGCTGGACCGAGGGACAGGTAAGTGAGCAGTGGTGAGGACACAGCTGGACCGGTAAGTGAGCGGTGGTGAGGACACAGCGGGACTGAGGGACAGGTAAGTGAGCAGTGGTGAGGACACAGCTGGACTGAGGGACAGGTAAGTGAGTAGTGGTGAGGACACAGCGGGACCGGTAAGTGAGCAGTGGTGAGGACACAGCGGGACCGAGGGACAGGTAAGTGAGCAGTGGTGAGGACACACCGGGACCGAGGGACAGGTAAGTGAGCAGTGGTGAGGACACAGCGGGACCGAGGGACAGGTAAGTGAGCAGTGGTGAGGACACACGGGACCGAGGGACAGGTAAGTGAGCAGTGGTGAGGACACACCGGGGTACCGACACCGCGAGGGGACAGGTAAGTGAGCAGTGGTGAGGACACACGGGACCGAGGGACAGGTAAGTGAGCGGTGTGTGAGGACACAGCGGGACCGAGGGACAGGTAAGTGAGTGGTGGTGAGGACACAGCGGGACCGAGGGACAGGTAAGTGAGCGGTGGTGAGGACACAGCGGGACCGAGGGACAGGTAAGTGAGCGGTGGTGAGGACACCGCGAGACCGAGGGACAGGTAAGTGGGTGCGGTGGTGAGGACACCGCGAGACCGAGGGACAGGTAAGTGAGCAGTGGTGAGGACACCGCAGGACTGAGGGACAGGTAAGTGAGTGGTGGGGAGGACACCGCGAGACCGAGGGACAGGTAAGTGAGCGGTGGTGAGGACACAGCAGGAGGGACAGGTAAGTGAGCGGTGGTGAGGACACCGCGGGACAGGTAAGTGAGTGGTGGTGGAGAGACACCGCGAGACCGAGGGACAGGTAAGTGAGCGGTGGTGAGGAGACACAGCGAGACCGAGGGACAGGTAAGTGAGCGGTGGTGAGGACACAGCGAGACCGAGGGACAGGTAAGTGAGCGGTGGTGAGGACACAGCGAGACCGAGGGACAGGTAAGTGAGCGGTGGTGAGGACACAGCGAGACCGAGGGACAGGTAAGTGGGTGGTGGTGAGGACACAGCTGGACACAGGGACAGGTAAGTGAGGTGGTGGTGAGGAGACCGAGGGACAGGTAAGTGGGTGGTGGTGAGGACACGGCGAGACTGAGGGACAGGTAAGTGGGTGGTGGTGAGGACACAGCTGGAGACGAGGGACAGGTAAGTGGGTGGTGGTGAGGAGACTGAGGGACAGGTAAGTGAGCGGTGGTGAGGACACGGCTGGACTGAGGGACAGGTAAGTGAGCGGTGGAGAGGACACCGCGAGACCGAGGGACAGGTAAGTGGCTGTAATTTAGAGAGTCAGCAGATAAAGTTTTTGTAGCTGCTGACTTTTTTTTTTTTTTCTTTAGGTGGGACTCCGCTTTAAGGGTGGGGACTTTTCAGCACAACTGTATTTAGACAAATTTACCGGAAAGATCATTTGGGTTTTAAAACAAAACTAAACCCATTGATATCACATTTTTCCCAAAACAGGGATTGGAAACTGAACTGTCAGGCCATCAAATGGTTGATTGTATAATCAGATTGGAAGGAGTAGGACCAGCTTAACCTCTTGGCGCCGGCCGCACGCAAATGTGCGACTTCCCAGCGTCTGGGCCTAGACGCCGAGCGGCCGCATATTTGCATGCAATTAAGAAAAACATATTTGCTGAGAGCGCGCTCCCAGCACACACGTCCGATACTCACAGAAAGGTCCCGATCTCCTCTTTCGATTGGGACCTTTCCCGATCATGTGACCGCCGTGACAGCAAATCACGGTGGTCACATGTCCCTAAAACCCCGCCCCGCCTCCCGGCTTCTCAAACCCTTAAAAGGCCAGGAGGCGCCGGCGCCAAGGGGTTAAAGAAACCGATTGGGGAAATACCGCTGATGTCCATCTGCAAAGGTTAGTGCCCTGGCTGTCATGCTGATCCTCTGGCCTCTCCAGTTAGTGAAGCGCTGACTATATCAAATATGAAGGCTGCAGAGCTGAAACATAAAGAGACCCTGTCACCAACCTTAAAAATGGCACACAAAAAAAAAAAAAAAACAGAAAAAAGCAGTTATTTGGACCTGCATTTATTTTATCCTTTCTGTGAACAATCGCCACAGAAACAGGACAACCGAAGTATCGAGAAATGTCGACTTCTGATAAGTTGAAGCTGAGATACCCCCTCCTCCCCTCCCCCACACCGCAATACGAGACCCCCCCCCCCCCCCCCAGCGACCTACTGAAAGGGACCTTCCATTGCAATGTGTGAGGCAACAGAAGTGACTTTCCAAAAAGTCAGTATTTGCATATTGCCGGGGCTCCTCTGCAGAGTTATCGGCGACACTGACCTGCACCTGACCCGCACCTGACCTGCACCTGACCGGCGCACCTGACCCGAGCACCGGTAGGCTAGTCCAGGGGTAGGCACTTGTAGCCTGCGGCTCTCAGGCTGTTGTAGAACTACATTTCCCATGAGGCATTGCAAAGATGACAAAACTGACAGTTACAGCTATGACTTGCAGAGGCATGATGGTACTTGTAGTCCTGCGGCTCTCAGGTTGCCTACCCCTGGGCTAGGATCACATGTGAGCATCGGCTTCTTTGTGTTCTTGAGCCTTTTTACACCCATTTTTCTACTGCGAGCGGGCGAGAAGTGCAAGCACCACCATGAGAGTGTACATTGCAGGCCCGCTTCCGGGATTTGATCACGCATGCCCCCCCCCCCCCCCCCCCGCCAATCAGTGCTGCGACTGGCTACACCACAGACCGCTTACAAACAATTTATGGGCGGGACCACTGTGGCCAATCACAGCACAGAGTTCTGTGTTTACAAACACACAGGGCTCTGTACACAGACCGAATTCTGGTGGTTTCCTCTGCCTGAAAAGCAGGGAGAAAAAACAGGCAGATCTGTAAAAGCCGCACACATCACACTTGTTAGTCAGTTAACCCCTTCATGGCCCAGTGATGTTAACCCCGTCCCAGCCAGTGTCATTAGTACAGTATTCTCACTTTATTAGTGCCACTAGTGATGTCATCATCTGCTAGTGTGCATCCCAGCCAGTGTCTGTTAGCGCCAGATTGCCCACCACACAATCACAGTCCCGCTATAAGTCGCTGATCACCTTCATCATCAGTACAGGGTCTATAGCTGCGTAAATTCCATCGTTCGTAGACACGATGACCTTCACACAAACCAATCAATACAAATATTGTGATTTTTTTTTTTTTTACCGAAGACATCTAACAGAATACATTTTGGCCTAAATTTATGAAGCGATTTAATTGGTTTTATAACGGAACATAGAAATTATTCTTTTTTTTTTATTTTCAGACTTTTTTTTCATTTATATAATATAAAAGAAAAGAAAAACCCAGTGGCGACCAAATTCCACCAAAAGATCTATTTGTGTGAAAAAAAAAATGATATAAATTCCACTTGGGAGCAGTGTTGCATGACCGCGCAATTTCCAGTTAAAGTAGAGCCGTGCTGAATAGAGAAAAAAATGCTCAGGTCATGAAGGGGGTAAAAGCTTCCGGAAATTAAGTGGTTAACCCCTTCAATATCGGGCACTTTCACCCCCTTCCTGTCCAGGCCGATGTTCAGCTTTCAGTGTTTTCGCATTTGAATGACAATTGCACGGTCATGCAACACTGTACCCATATGACATTTCTATCTATCTTTTTTTTTTTTTTTTTTTTTTTTTTCTTTTACACAAATGGAGCTTTTTTTGGTGGTATTTAATCACCACTGGGGGGGGGGGGGTTATTTTTTGCTAAACAAACAAAAAAAGACTGAAAATTGAGAAAAAAAGTTTTTCTTCACTTTTATTATAAACATTTTGCAAATAAGTAATTTTTCTTCTTCACTGATGTGTGCTGGTGAGGCTGAATTGATGGGCTGCACTGGTGAGGCTGTACTGATGGGCACTGGTGAGGCTGTACTGATGGGCGCTGGTGAGGCTGCACTGATGGGCGCTGGTGAGGCTGCACTGATGGGCGCTGGTGAGGCTGCACTGATGGGCGCTGGTGAGGCTGCACTGATGGGCGCTGGTGAGGCTGCACTGATGAGGCTGTATGATGGGCGCTGGTGAGGCTGCACTGATGAGGCTGCACTGATGGGCGCTGGTGAGGCTGCACTGATGGGCACTGGTGAGGCTGCACTGGTGAGGCTGCACTGATGGGCGCTGGTGAGGCTGCACTGATGGGCGCTGGTGAGGCTGCACTGATGGGCGCTGGTGAGGCTGCACTGATGGGCGCTGGTGAGCCTGCACTGATGGGCGCTGGTGAGGCCTGCACTGGTGAGGCTGTACTGATGGGCGCTGGTGAGCCTGCACTGATGGGCGCTGGTGAGCCTGCACTGGTGAGCTGTGCACTGATGGGCGCTGGTGAGCCTGCACTGATGGGCGCTGGTGAGCCTGCACTGGTGAGCCTGCACTGATGGGCGCTGGTGAGCCTGCACTGATGGGCGCTGGTGAGCCTGCACTGATGAGGCTGTACTGATGGGCGCTGGTGAGGCTGCACTGATGGGCGCTGGTGAGGCTGCACTGATGAGGCTGTACTGATGGGCGCTGGTGAGCCTGCACTGGTGAGACTATACTGATGGGCGCTGGTGAGGCTGCACTGATGGGGCTGTACTGATGGGCGCTGGTGAGGCTGCACTGATGAGGCTGATGGGCGCTGGTGAGGCACTGATGAGGCTGTACTGATGGGCGCTGGTGAGGCTGCACTGATGAGGCTGTACTGTACTGATGGGCGCTGGTGAGGCTGCACTGATGAGGCTGTACTGATGGGCGCTGGTGAGGCTGCACTGATGAGGCTGTACTGATGGGCACTGGTGAGCCTGCACTAATTATCAGTGTAAACGTCACCTATCAGGACTGCAGGTTATCGGCCGTCCTCTCCTCACACAGGCACAGCGGCGAGGAACAGAAATGCCGATAACTGGTGTTTGTTTACAGGCGATCTATGATCAGTTATGCCCGATGTATACCTCCCCCCCCCCGGGGGGCCACAAGAGGCCGCTGACAAATGCCGTCCCAGAACAGGAGGGCGGCGCTGTAGCCATCCAGCGGCCGCAGTACTGAAGAGGGTGAATGGAGCTCCCGGGGCACCTTTCAGCCATTTATCCAGTAATGTCCGCGGGGCCAAAAACTGCCATTTTATTTTGGGGGGGGGTACAAAAACTCTGCTGTGATTGGCCCATGGAGAGCGCCGAGCGCTGTGATTGGCCCATGGAGAGCGGCAAGCGCTGTGATTGGCCCATGGAGAGCGGCGAGCGCGGTCATTCTTCGGGAAGCGAGTAGCCCAGCGGTGAGGTGTGAATGGGGCCCCCGGGTCCCGGAGCGGACGTCTTCTATAATGAGCGCTGACCCCGCCGACACACAATCAGCGACTTCTGAGGAAAGTCAGGCCGAGGACCGCCCCCGGTGCGCTGATAAATGGGGCCCTCGTTGCTGTCGGGGGGTGGGGCCATGTACCTCAGCAACGACTTTCCCTCAAAGTCGCCATTTGCATATCACCTGGGGGAGAGGCTGCAGGGCCCCTGTAAGATCCTCAGGGGCCCCATTCTGCCCCCAGCCTCAGGAAGCCCCAATGACAGGAGGAGTCCAGCACTGAGAGGCCCCTTCCAGGGACTCAGCCCGGATCTCAGGGGCCCCCTGACAACTCTCAGGGTGTCACTCAGCCGCCCCGCCCCTCAGAGCCCCCAACACCCTCCCATCCCCACCCCCCTTCCCGGGTCGCTGTCACTCTCACCGCCCGGTGCTGCTGCTCCTTCCTCGGCTCCGGGACACCCAAAATGGCGGCTGACGGGCCGCAGCACCGCGGCTGTGCGGAGGAATCCGGCCGAGGCCTGAGCGCGGGCCGCGCGGTGGAGGCGAGAGGTGCCGGCGCGGTCAACGGAGCCGGGATGAGTCCAGCGGGCGGCCGCCGTAAGAGGGAAGATGGACGGGCTCTCCGTCACCCGCTCAGGGGGGGACCGGAACTCTTTGTCGGAGGCGGAAGGATACCAGTGAGGCGGCTGAGGGCAGCCAGTGATGACGTCAGCTCAGTGCCCCGTCACTGCCAGACCCGGAAGTAAGGGGAGGGCGGTGCCCAGGGGGTGGGTGGCTGTCATGGAGCACGTGACGCCGGCACCTGAGGGCGGAGGTGGAATGACGTAGCCAAGACCTGTCAGTTAAAGGCGCCGCCCCCTTCAGGTGTCAGCTGCTCCATGACCTGAGCCCGACTACAGACGAAATTCATTTATTCAAATTAAAACCAAAACCTTTTTTTTTTTTCTCATTTTGGAGGAAAGAGTGATCGGTTATAACCCCTATCCGGTTTCCTTTTATCATCGGTGTCCCCATGGGGGGATTTCCCTTCACTTCCTGTCCCACAACAAAAACAGGAAGTGAGAACAAATCCCTCCTAAGGGAATCTCTGACCAAGTGTCCCCATTGGAAGATTTCTCCTGTTTTCCTGTTCCCGTGACAATTATCCCAATTACACACTAAACACTTTTATGTACATGAAAACTAACACCAAACCTTTTTTTTTTCCATTTTGGAGGGGGGAGGGTTAAACATTATAACCCCTATCAGGTTTTTTTATCATCTGTGTCCCCATGGGGGAGATTTCCAAAACAGGAAGTGAGAAGAAATCCCTCCAAAGTGAGGAAATCTCTGAACAAGCGTCTCCATAGAAAGTTATAACCCCTATCAGGTTTTTTTTATCATCTAGCCGTATTCAATATATATATATATATATACTGTCTGTTGAAATGCATTTTTATTACAAAATATATGAAAAATATTATTAAAAATAAATCTTGAAATATACTGCATGTCTTTAAAAATACATTTAATCTACATTTTTGTGATGCGTTTACAAACATAGGTTAAAAAAAAATCTGAAGAATAATTTTTTTTAAAAATACATTTTTAAAAACTATTTTTAATATATTTTGTAATGTATAAAAAAAACGCATTACAACACGCAGTATATATACAGTGGGGCAAAAAAAGTATTTAGTCCCCACCAATTGTACAAGTTCTCCCACTTACAAAGATGAGAGAGGCCTGTAATTGGCATCATAGGGAGACCTCAACTATGAGAGACAAAATGAGAAAACAAATCCAGACAATCTCATTGGCTGATCTGGAAAGAATTTATTTGCAAATTATGGTGGAAAATAAGTATTTGGTCACCTACAAAACAAGCAGGATTTCTGGCTCTCACAGACCTGGACCTTCTTCTTTAAGAGGCTCCTCTGTCCTGCACTCATTACCTGTATCAATGGCACCTGTTTGAACTTGTTATCAGTATAAAAGACACCTGTCCACAACCTCAAACAGTCACACTCCAAACTCCACTATGGTGAAGACCAAAGAGCTGTCGAAGGACACCAGAAACAAAATTGTAGACCTGCACCAGACTGGGAAGACTGAATCTGCAATAGGCAAGCAGCTTGGTGTGAACAAATCAACTGTGGGAGCAATAATTAGAAAATGGAAGACATACAAGACCACTGATAATCTCCCTCGATCTGGGGCTCCACGCAAGATCTCACCCCGTGGGGTCAAAATGATCACAAGAATGGTGAGCAAAAATTCCAGGACCACACGGGGGGACCTAGTGAATGACCTGCAGAGAGCTGGGACCAACGTAACAAAGGCTACCATCAGTAACACACTACGCCGCCAGGGACTCAGATCCTGCAGTGCCAGACGTGTCCCCCCGCTTAAGCCAGTACATGTCGGGGCCCGTCTGAAGTTTGCTAGAGAGCATTTGGATGATCCAGAAGAGGATTGGAGAATGTCATATGGTCAGATGAAACCAAAATAGAACTGTTTGGTAGAAACACAACTTGTCGTGTTTGGAGGAGAGAGAATGCTGAGTTGCATCCAAAGAACACCATACCTACTGTGAAGCATGGGGGTGGCAACATCATGCTTTGGGGCTGTTTCTCTGCAAAGGGACCAGGACGACTGATCCATGTACAGGACAGAATGAATGGGGCCATGTATCATGAGATTTTGAGTGCAAACCTCCTTCCATCATCAAGGCCATTGAAGATGAAACGTGGCTGGGTCTTCCAACATGACAATGATCCCAAACATACCGCCCGGGCAACGAAGGAGTGGCTTCGTAAGAAGCATTTCAAGGTCCTGGAGTGGCCTAGCCAGTCTCCAGATCTCAACCCCATAGAAAACCTTTGGAGGGAGTTGAAAGTCCGCGTTGCCCAGCGACAGCCCCAAAACATCACTGCTCTAGAGGAGATCTGCATGGAGGATGGGCCAACATACCAGCAACAGTGTGTGCCAACCTTGTGAGGACTTCCAGGAAATGTCTGACCTCTGTCATTGCCAACAAAGGATATATAACAAAGTATTGACATGAACTTTTCATATTCACCAAATACTTATTTTCCACCATTATTTGCAAATAAATTCTTTCCAGATCAGCCAAAGTGATTGTCTGGATTTGTTTTCTCATTTTGTCTCTCATAGTTGAGGTCTCCCTATGATGCCAATTCAGGGGCGGACTGACCATTTGTAAACTTGGGCACTGCCCGAGGGCCCGGGGTCAAAAGGGGGCCCCATGAGATGCCCCTGGTACCTTTTTCATAGGCTTTTTTGAGTTTGGGGGCCCCATGATCCCTATTGCCCGGGGGCCCCATGAGTTGTCAGTCCGCCCCTGTGCCAATTACAGGCCTCTCTCATCTTTTTAAGTGGGAGAACTTGCACAATTGGTGGCGGACTAAATACTTTTTTGCCCCCACTGTATATTGAAATGCATTTTTATTACAAAATATATGAAAAATATGAAAAATAAATTTTGAAATATACTGCATGTCTTTAAAAATACATTTAATCTACATTTTTGTGATGCGTTTACAAATATATGTTAAAAAAAATCTGAAAAATACATTTTTTAAAAATAAATTTTTAAAACTATTTTTAATATATTTTGTAATGTATAAAAACGCATTACAGCACGCAGTGTATATATATATATATATGAATATGGCCAAAATTGTAGTATTTCAAATATATTTTTCTTCCATGTGGGCACCTTCCCCACTCCCGTTGATCACAGCATTGTATTTCCAATCGCTCGCGCTGCTATCAATCTGCCCCATGAGGAGGGAGACAGCGGTGAGAGCACATCACTACAGAAAGAAAATTTGTGGGGGGGGGGGGGCTGCAGCACAGAAGGTTCTTCACTGTCATGCATAGATTGCACGAAGGTGTAAAACATTAAGTGCCGGTTCACACTCCATGCGTTTCAGTTGCTTTTTTTCTGCATCGAAAACACAGAAAGTCGCTGATCTGGTTGTCAGTGTCATAGTTCACATCGGCGGTCGCAGTTACAGGGCATCTTGCTTTGTATCTAGGTGCCTCTGAAGAAGAGATCTCATTCCTGCTCCGAAACGCGTCAGTCATCCTATCATTCTCGGTTTTAACATTTGACCGCCTGTGTCTTGTTTTGTGGTTTTGACTGTTTTTGTACAATAAGATCACAGTGGCTGAATGGTCAGCACTTCCGCCTGGCAGATACATTGTATCTCTCTAACTCCTGGCAGATACATTGTATCTCTCTAACTCCTGGCAGATGCATTGTATCTCTCTAACTCCTGGCAGATGCATTGTATCTCTCTAACTCCTGGCAGATGCATTGTATCTCTCTAACTTGGCAGATGCTCTCTCTAACTCCTGGCAGATACATTGTATCTCTCTAACTCCTGGCAGATACATGTATCTCTCTAACTCCTGGCAGATACATTGTATCTCTCTAACTCCTGGCAGATATTGTATCTCTCTAACTCCTGGCAGATACATTGTATCTCTCTAACTCCTGGCAGATGCATTGTATCTCTCTAACTCCTGGCAGATGCATTGTATCTCTCTAACTCCTGGCAGATACATTGTATCTCTCTAACTCCTGGCAGATACATTGTATCTCTCTAACTCCTGGCAGATACATTGTATCTCTCTAACTCCTGGCATCAAGAAAAAAACATTTTGTTAACCACTTGCCCTCCAGAGGATTTACCCCCCTTAATGACCACGCCTCTTTTTGCTACTCGTCGCTGCACTAAGTCAACTGATAATTGCGCGGTCATGCAATGCTGCAGCCAAACGAAATTTACGTCCTTTTTTTCACACAAATAGAGCTTTCTTTCGGTGGTATTTGATCACCTGTGCGCTTTTTATTTTTCGCGCTATAAACAAAAAAAGACCAAAAATTTGGAAGAAAAACAATATTTTTTTACTTTCAGCTATAAAAAATATATAGTAAACTCAAAGTATGTTATAAATTTAGGCCAAAATGTATTCTGCTCTGTTTTTGGTAATAAAATCCCAATAAGTGTATATTGATTGCTTTGTGTGACAGTTATAGCGTCTACAAACTATGGTATAGATACTGCAATTTACGCCATTTTTTTGCTATACAGCACTGCGCTAGTTTAACGGACAATTGCGCGGTCATGCAATACGGTACATAAATGAAATTTATGTCCTTTTTTTCACACAAATAGAGATTTCTTTCAGTGGTATTTGATCGCCTGTGCGGTTTTTTATTTTTTGCGCTATAAAAAAAAAGGCTGTCAATTTTGAGAAAAAAAAACAATATTTTGGACTTTTTGCTATAAAACATGTCCAGTAAAAAAAAAATAAAAATCTAATTTCGTCATAAATTTCTCAAAAAATGCATTCTGCGACATGTCTTTGCTAAACAAAAACCCCAATACGTGTAAATGAATTGGTTTACGTGAAAGTTATAGCGTTTACAAATGGCGGGAAAGATACTGGGGTTTTTAATTTTTTTTTTATACTAATAATGGCGGCGATCAGCAACTTATGGCGGGACTGCGGCGGACATTCTGACACTGGGGGGGGGGGGGGGGAAACTGACTTGGGGTCACTGACATCCCCAGTGACACTAATACAGTGATCAGTGCAAAAAAAAAAAAAAAAACTGACACTGTACTAATGGCACTGGGGAGGAAGAGGTTAACTTTTTTATTTATTGAAAGGGTTAACTGTGTGAGGGGAGTGTTTTACTAGGGGGTGGGGGGGTGTGTACTGCAAACTCTTCTCTCTGGATCAGCCTGTCAGGAGCTGTCAGGGAATTGACAGAGAGCAGACCTACTGCAGCCGTGCTCTCTGTCAGCGATTGCCGCTAATCGGTGGGACACAGCTGGTAACGACCGGCTGTGACCCGGCGACTGACATCCGCGGCTGTGATCGGCGGGACAGGTAGGGCGGCGGTGCGCCTCGCGCGCGTCCCCTACCTGTTTTGCAAACACACGTTTTAAAACGTGGTTTTGCCCAGCCGTGCCGCCCTGCCGCCGTATTTCTACAGTGGCTGGGCGGCATGTGGTTAAAAAAAAAAGATAGATAAATATTAAAAAAATAAAATAAAAAAATAAAGAAAAATACCTAGATTAAGGTTTGATCTAGTTCAGACACAGGGTAAGTATTTGGGTTAAGGTCAGGGTCAAAGGTCAGGGTCAAAAGGTCAGATTTTTTTTTTTTTTTTTTTTTTTTTTTTTTTTTATTTTATTGTGTCAGTGTGTTTTAGGTAAAAAAAAAAAAAAAAGCACACTTGTTTCTGGGCTGTACTCCGGGTACAAACAACAAATCACATCCACATATATGGTATCGCTGCAATCGTCAGGAGCTGGAAAATTTATTTTGTGTTGTTCTTTGGTGGTAGGTTATGGTAGTAACAAGAAACACACAGCTAAATTAAAAATATATACATTTATTTACTATTTTGGGCCAGTTTTCCTTTGATAATAAAAAAAATCAAGAGATATCCATTACCATTTACCACCAAATAAAAGCCCAATTTGTCCTGAAAAAAAATGCGGTATAATCCACACGGATGTACGAAGTAGTTGTGATGATACGGACGGTTTTACTATCACATGTCAATGTTGCAAAATTGTGCTTAGGCATTAAGATTTGTTTTATCCTCAGGCGTTGAAGGGGTTAAAGTAAATAAAATGTATTTATTCCGTATTCTGCATTGGTAAAACCGTGCATATCATCCCAACTACTTTGTGTATCCAGCTGGATTATAGACATGTGCAGTTCGTTTTGTTACAAATCGAAAATCGGACGAATTTTCCGTTATTCGGATGTATTCGAATTACAATAGTAATGAATTTAAACGGTTCTGAAATAACAAAACTAAATTTGTCCAAAATTCAAATCGACTTCAAAACAAATTTAAATTCAAAAACCAATTTGAAAACAAGAATAGAATAAAATGGAAAATAAAATAAAGAAAAGAATAGAATAATATAGAAAATGAAAGAAGAGAACAGGATCCAGAAGAAAATAATAGAGTAAAACAGAACAAAAGAATAGAAAATAAAGAAATAGAATAAATAGAATAGAATAGAATCCATTAGAAAAAGATTAGAAGAGAAAACAGAAATCAAAGAATAGAGTAGAAAATAGAATAGAATAAAAAAAGATTAGAAAAAAAAAAAAAGAATGGAAAATAGTAAAAAAAGAAAAAATATTAAATAGAAATAATAGAAAAGAATCAATTAGAATACAATAGAAAAGATTAAAACAGAAAATAAGAACAGAGTAGAAAATAGAGTAAAAAGAGCAATATAGAATAGAAAAAATAAAGGAATAAAAAAGAATCAATTAGAATAGAATAAAATAGAAAAGATTTGAATAGAGTAGAAAATCAAAGAATAGAATAGAACAGAAATAGAAAATATTAGCATAAAAATAGAATCAAAGAAAAATAAAAGAATAGAATAGTAAAAGATAGAAAAAATCAATAGAATAGAATAAAAAACAATAGAAAGAATAAAATAAAACTGCCTTCCAAAATTCAAATTTTGAATAGAATGAATTTGAACAGAATACATTAGAATAGAATATATAATAATAGAAAAGAATAGAATAGATTAGAAAAGACAAATACTTTACAAAAAAAATTGTGAACTGCGCTATGGTGACGTGAGTATTGATCAATATCAAAAATTGAAAATTTTGCTGAAATATGGAAAATTTTATTTTAGCTGTATATTTCTTGCTATTACTACAATTTACCACCAAAGAACAACCCAAAATACATTTTTCTGCTTTTGGCAATCATAGCGAAGCCACACACACTGTATTACTGGAAGTATTGGTCCGCCAGCCTTTCCACACACATGTCCTTTAATGGCACCCCAGTCCTAGTCCATAGGGTTCAATATTGAGTTGGCCCCCTTTCTACCCTTTCCACACACATGACCTTTAATGGCCCCCCCTTTCCAGTCTTAGTCCGTAGGGTTTTCAATATTGAGTTGGCCCCCCCGCCCTTTGCAGCTATAACAGCTCCAACTCTTCTGGGAAGGCCGTCCACAAGGTTTAGGAGGGTGTCTATGGGAAGGTTGGACCATTCTTCCAGAAGCACATTTGTCAGGTCAGGCACTGATGTCGGGGGAGGAGGCCTGGCTCGCAGTCTCCCCTCTAATTCATCCCAAAGGTGTTCTATGGGGTTGAGGTCAGGTCAGGACAGTCATGTTCCTCCACCCCAAACTGGCTCCTCCATGTCTTTATGGACCTTGCTTTGTGCACTGGTGGGCAGTCATGTTGGAACAGGAAGGGGCCATCCCCAAACTCTTCCCACAAAGTTGGGAGCATGAAATTGTCCAAAATGTCGCCTTAAGAGTTCCCTTCACTGGAACTAGGGGGCCAAGCCCAACCCCTGAAAAACAACCCCACACCATAATCCCCCCTCCACCAAACTTTACACTTGGCACAATACAGTCAGGCAAGTCCCGTTCTCCTGGCAACCACCAAACCCAGACACATCCATCAGATTGCCAGACAGAGAAGCGTGATTGGTCACTCTAGAGAACACGTCTCCACTGCTCTAGAGTCCAGTGGCGGCGTGCTTTACACCACGGTTACCAACGCTTTGCATTGCACTTGGTGATGGAAGGCTTGGATGCAGCTGCTCGGCCATGGAAACCCATTCATGGAGCTCTCTACGCACTGTTGTTGGGCTCATCTGAAGGCCACACCAAGTTTGGAGGTCTTTAGCTATTGACTCTGCAGACAGTTGGTGACTTCTGCACACTGTGCGCTTCAGTATGCGCTGACCCCGCCCTGTCATGTGACGTGGCCTACCACTTGGTGGCTGAGTGGCTGTTCCCAGTTGCTTCCACTTTGTTATAATCCCACTAACAGTTGAGCGTGGAATATTTAGTAGCCAGGAAATGTCACGGATGGACTTATTGCCCAGGTGGCCACCTATCACGGGACCACGCTTGGAGTCACTGAGCTCCTGAGAGCGACCCATTCTTTCACCAATGTTTGTAGAAGCCGTCTGCATGCCTAGGGGCTTGATTGTATACACCTGTGTCCATGGAGGGGATTGGAGCACCTGAATCACATGATATGGAGGGGGGATTGGAACACCTGAATCACATGATATGGAGGGGCGGGGCCAATACTTTTGGCAATATAGTGTATGTGGATGTTATCTGTTGTTTGTATCTATAGTACAGTCCAGGGGCAAACTGGCAACTCATGGGGCCCCCGGGCAATAGGGGATCATGGGGCCCCTGTGTCCTTGCCCAAACTCAAAAAAGCCTATGAAAAAGGTACCAGGGGCATCTCATGGGGCCCCCTACTGACCCCGGGCCCTTGGGCAGTGCCCGAATTTCCAAATGGTCAGTCCGCCCCGGCACAGTCCAGAAACAGTGGCGCGATTTTCCCTTTTATTTTATCCTACCTAAAACACACTGACCTTTGACTCTGACCATGACCTTTGACCTTAACCCTAACCATGACACTAGCTATTTTACCTTTCTTTTTTTTTATTTATCTTTTTTTTTTTACTTTACTTATTATTATTATTATTATTATAGGTACTTATATAGCGCCAACAATTTACGCAGCACTTTACATATATATTGTACAATCACATCAATCCCCGCCCCGAGGAGCGTACAGTCTAAGGTCCCTAACTCACATTCATACATACACATACTAGGGCCAATGTAGACAGGATCCACGTAACCCCCCAGCATGTCTTTTACATGCACTTTTTTGGTAAAACAAAAAATGCAAAACGCGGAGAAAAACGCAGCTAAAATGTAGTGCAAAAACATTAAAAAAAAAAAGGCTGGAAAACTCACGTTTTTAACGTGACTTTACTCAGCTGACGCTACCCCCAGGGGCGTACTGACCATTCAGGCACTCGGGCACTGCCTGAGGGCCCGGGGTCAGTAGGGGGCCCCATGAGATGCCCCTGGTACCTTTCATAGTTTTTTTTTGGTGTGGTTTGAGTGTGGCCCGAGGGCCCCATGATCCCTTATTGCCCGGGGGCCCCATGAGTTGTCAGTCCGCACCTGGCTACCACCGTTACTGAAACGCCCCCCGTGCATGGAGCTTTAATACCAGAAACAACAGAAAAAAAAATTTTATTCAAAACTTTCAGTATTTTTTTTCTTTTTATAATAAAACCCGCAGTGGTGATCAAATACCACCAAAAGAAAGCTCTATTTGTGTGAAAAAAATTATATAAATTTCATTTGGGTGCAGCGTTGCATGACCGCACAATTGCCAGTTAAAGTAGCGCAGTGCTGAATGGCAAAAAATGTCCTGGACATGAAGGGGGTAAAACCTTCCATAACTTAAGTGGTTAAAATTCATAACCGGAACGTTTTTTTTTAAATTTTGGATAGCGTAGTGAAGGGCTAAAACCGCACCACCCAACTGTCCCGGATCCTGTGGGACTGTCCCCACATTTCTTTAAAATACCAGCATCCTTTGCTGTTTCCTGTGGCCCAGTGCCGGATTTATAGGAGGCAAGATAGGCAAATGCTCTGGGGCCCCCCTGACAGAAGGGGCCCCCCGCAATACAAAAATGACATAAAACAATATTTAAAAAAATTGTGTAAAATATGTATGCTGGGGAGATTTGGAGGGAAAGAGGATTTGTGCTGGGAGGGAGAATTTGGGGAGAAGAAAAGATTTGTATTAGGAGGGGGAAAGAAATTGTTTCTAGAATCGGGGAAAGGAATGTGTTAGAAGGGGGGTATTGGGGGTGGGGGATTCTGCTAGCAGTGGAAAGAGGATTTGAGCTTGGAGGGGGGCTGATATTTTCTGTGGGTGAATTTGAAGGGAGAAGAGGATTTGTACTAAAAGGGGCATTTGGGGAGGAGAGAATCTGTTTTAGAAGCAGGGGGGAGAGGATATGTGCTGGTAGGGGGGACGGGGAGTGATTTATCTAGGGGGATTTGGCGGGGAAGAGGATTTTTGCTGGGAGAGGGAAGAAGATTTGTACTAGAAGGGGCGTTAGGGGAGAGTGGTGAATCTGTTCTAGACATGGGGAGAGGATTTGTGCTAGAAGGGGGGTATGAAGGGGCAAGGGGATTTGTGTTAGCAGGGGGGAGAGGATTTGTGCTGGTAGGAAGGAGAGGGGGAGTGATTGATGCTAGGGGGATTTGGAAGAGAAAATAATTTGTGCTGGGAGGGGGGGGGGAGAGAATTTGTGCTAGAAGGGGCATTTGGGGAGGAGAGAATCTGCTTTAGAAGAAGGGAGAGGATTTGTGCTAGAAGGGGGGTATGGGGGGGTATTTGTATTAACAGGGGCAAGAGGATGTGTGCTGGTATGGGGGGACGAGGGGGGTGATTTATGCCAGGGGAATTTGGCAGGGAAGAGGATTTTTCTGGGAGAGTGGAGTAGAAGATTTGTACTAGAAGGGGCATTTGGGGAGGGGGGGGGGATTTGTTCTAGAAGTGGGGGGAGGATTTGTGCAAGAAGGGGGTATGAAGGGGCAAGGGGATTTGTGTTAGCAGGGGGGATTTGTGGTGGTAGAGAGGATAGGGGGAGTGATTGATGCTAGGGGGATTTGGAAGGGAAAAGGATTTGTACTGGGAAGAGGGGCTTGGGGGGGAAGAAGATGATTTGTAATAGAAGGGACATTTGGGGAGGATAGAATCCGTTCTAGACGTGGGGAAAGGACTTGTCTTAGAAGGGGGCTATGGGGGGGGGTGTGGGGGGCATGAGTATTTGTATTAGCAGGGGGGAGAGGATGTGTGCTGGTAGGGGGGGAAGGGGGGGTTATTTGTTAGGGGGATTTATACTGAGGGGAGAGGATTTGTACTAGAAGGGGCATTTGGGGGGGGTGGAAAGAATCTTTTCTAGAAGCGGGGAGAGGATTAGTGCTAGCAGTGGGATATGAGGGGGCAAAGGGATTTGTGTTAGCAGGGGAGAGAAGACTTGTGCTGGTGGAGGGGTGATTGATGCTGGAGGGATTTAAGGGGAAGAGGATTTATGCTGGAGGGGGGTTTGGAGGGAGAAGAGGATTTGTACTAGAAGGGGCATTTCGGGAGGAGATAATCTATTTTGGAAGCGGGGAGGTGATTTGTGCTAGAAGGGGGGAGGGTGGTATAGGAATTTGTGTTAGCGGGGGGGGGGGGGGGGGGGGGGTGAGGGGAATTTGTTCTGGTAAGAGGTTAGGGGGAGTGATTTATGCTAGGGGAATTTGGAGGGAAGAGTGTTTGTGCTTGGGGGGGGGGGGGGTTTGGGGGAAAAGAGTGGCATGCAGTAAAGTGTGCTTGTTATACTGTGGAACCTAAGAGGTTAATCTTCTGCACTGTGTAAAAAGGCTGTTTGACCCTGTCTTCTCTGATCCTCCCCTTCTTCCAGTGCCCCCCTCTTATCTCCTGATAAGACATATAGTGTGGAGTCACTCTGCACATGCTCAGTTTGGTGTATGTTGCTAGAGAGGTTTTTTTTTTCTTGGGAGAGTGCATGTGATCAGCACAGGGCCAATCAGTACTGTCCAGACCCAGGTCAGGAGTTCTGCATCTTCCTAAAGCAAAATTAAAACTCCTCCTACAAGCTTTAACCAATGCTCTGCGGGACACTGATAGAAGTCACAAGACTGCTATATACTGCTGATGAGAAAGGGGATTTAGCAGTTTATATTTACTAAAATAATTAGTAGAGAGCGGATACGGTGAATTCGGGGTCCGGGGAGAGCGGATATAGTGAATGCGGGGTCCGGGGAGAGCGGATACAGTGAATGCGGGGTCCTGGGAGAGCGGATACAGTGAATGCGGGGTCCGGGGAGAGCGGATATAGTGAATGCGGGGTCCGGGGAGAGCGGATATAGTGAATGCGGGGTCCGGGGAGAGCGGATATAGTGAATGCGGGGTCCGGGGAGAGCGGATACAGTGAATGCGGGGTCCGGGGAGAGCGGATACAGTGAATGCGGGGTCCGGGGAGAGCGGATACAGTGAATGCGGGGTCCGGGGAGAGCGGATACAGTGAATGCGGGGTCCGGGGAGAGCGGATAGAGTGAATGCGGGGTCCGGGGAGAGCGGATACAGTGAATGCGGGGTCCGGGGAGAGCGGATACAGTGAATGCGGGGTCCGGGGAGAGCGGATACAGTGAATGCGGGGTCCGGGGAGAGCGGATACAGTGAATGCGGGGTCCGGGGAGAGAGCGGATAGAGTGAATGCGGGGTCCGGGGAGAGCGGATAGAGTGAATGCGGGGTCCGGGGAGAGCGGATAGAGTGAATGCGGGGTCCGGGGAGAGCGGATATAGTGAATGCGGGGTCCGGGGAGAGCGGATACAGTGAATGCGGGGGGTCCGGGGAGAGCGGATACAGTGAATGCGGGGTCCGGGGAGAGCGGATACAGTGAATGCGGGGTCCGGGGAGAGCGGATAGAGTGAATGCGGGGTCCGGGGAGAGCGGATATAGTGAATGCGGGGTCCGGGGAGAGCGGATATAGTGAATGCGGGGTCCGGGGAGAGCGGATATAGTGAATGCGGGGGTCCGGGGAGAGCGGATACAGTGAATGCGGGGTCCGGGGAGAGCGGATATAGTGAATGCGGGGTCCGGGGAGAGCGGACACAGTGAATGCGGGGTCCGGGGAGAGCGGACACAGTGAATGCGGGGTCCGGGGAGAGCGGACACAGTGAATGCGGGGTCCGGGGAGAGCGGATACAGTGAATGCGGGGTCCGGGGAGAGCGGATAGAGTGAATGCGGGGTCCGAGGGAGAGCGGATAGAGTGAATGCGGGGTCCGGGGAGAGATACATAGTGAATGCGGGGTCCAGGGAGAGCGGACATAGTGAATGCGGGGTCCGGGGAGAGAGGGATACAGTGAAACCTTCCATCCCATCCCCCCCAAGATATAAATTGAGGTACCTTCATAATCTGATCCATGATAATCTGCTCCATCATCCGCTCCACGCTCTCCTCCCCTCCTCCTTCATGCAGCCTAAACAGGCCGGACAGCCATGTCACCGAGACAGAAATTTAAACTTTCAGACAAAAGTCAACAGGTAAGCCTTCATCATCGTTTCTAGCCCCTCCCCGACCTGTGATGTCGGCTGGGACAACACAAGGAGGACCTGTCTTCGCCTTTCCTGTTCTGCACCTTATGGGGGGAATATCTGGGCCTCCTATGAGCTGATGGTAAACTAGAAAAATGTTTTGCTTGTAGTCGGATATCACTGATGTGTTCACTTTTGTGTTCCAGGATCCCCCCCCCCCCCCCGCCCAAGCCTGCAGCAATGAACGGAAATAGCTCAGGTGACATTTCCAACAATAGGAGTGGCGTGTCGCAGGTCAGCAGAGGGAAGCCGAACACCGAAATTGTGCCGCTTCACTCAAAATGACTAAATGTAACTCCTATGTGCAGCCGAAGTGCTGATATCAATAATACGGATCGCGGAGCTAAAGTGAAAAGAATCGGAATAAGTAAATCAATAAATGTCAGTTTCCAGAGACAAATCCACATAGAAGTGAGAGAAATATAAAAAAGGTCCGAAAAAAAAATGTCAGCATGAC